GGATAGTATATTCTAGTAATATATTCCTAAAATTTTATCAATAGCTGACATGCATCCTATTTTTGCAAAAGGCATAACAAATGGGAATATGAGCTTACGCGCGGCCAAGATTTCATCTCGGCTGATTTAAAAGACACGCGGGCGACTATTTACTTCCGGTAGGTAAGTAGTAGTCGGGTGGTGTCCCGCAGGCAAAATGAAAGGCTTCGTTAGGATCAATTCGGTGGTTCACATCGACAAAGTGTGCAAAAATAGAACTCGAGGTCGATATAGTTTCACCTTTTCTTAGCCACGCCGGTATGTGTTCACGTACCCCCTTTTCCAGACGTCTCACTGTTCGGCCAAGGAACCCTGCTCGGCAGAAGCAGGGGATAGAGGTAATGCACATCGATGAGGCCTTTAACAGGAGTCGATCTTTACCCCCCCCCTAGCGTAGGAAAGGAGAGTTCGTGAAAAATACAAGTTCGCCACAGGGCAAACTCTTGTGATCACTGTCTTCAGAATTCCCCTTATCATACCATATTCCCTTATTGAGCAAACGATTTAGCGATTATATTTGTTACCGATAGGTTCCATAAATATAAGAATCCGCAACATTTATACACCGGACATTTTTATATTGAAAAGAGAACTTTATTAGCTTTCGATGTTTTTTTGCATATAAGATTAAGAGTATGCACACCCCCTTATCATCAAATATTTATTTTGAATCTTGATCATAAGACCTAATTTTTAAAAAAGTATCCTGTCAAATATAAGTCGAATGTGATTTTTACGAGAATGCTTGAGTACCAACATCCTTGTAACTGTCTATTTGGGAACTTATTGAGTGGCACAGAATGCTCCTACAATATTGAACATTCTAAGCACACATTCCAAGCTCAGAAACCCCAGAGCTGAGCTTTCACAGCAATGACGCTCGTCACACTTCCATGCTTCTATTAGTCATTGGTCAAATACCTTTTCTGAAGGTGGTACTAAATATTAAGCTTGCAGACTAGTAAATTCTCCAATATTATGGCGAAATGTCTGTACAACTGCTG